GCTTGTAATTTTTTAAAAATCGTTAAAACCACAATGTAAAAAATATAAATGCTTACACAAAGGACTGAAAAGAAGCACATTAAAATGGTGAGCTTCAAATATTTTTACATTTAGCAAGTGTTACTATTATAGTCAGAAAAAAAGGGAAACGCTAATAAATTTCTCTAAAAAAAGAAACAAGTACATTCTTTTAAAAAAATTTCATTTCTTTGTTCCAATAGTTTTCTTTATCTGTTCCTATTTGTTATCCATAGTAGTTTGTACATATATAGTCAGAGCCCATGTTATGGGTTCCTTTTAACATTTTATAAAGGAAGGCTTTTAAAAACCAGTAGGACAACAACAACAAAAAATTATTTTAAGAAAAAACAGTTACATAAAGCATTTTTTTTGGAAAAATCAGGCACTTAGACACATCATTTTTTTGAAATAGTGCTTGTGTTCACTGACATTTTTTCCTTTTATTAATGTTTAAATAAATTACTTGTATTTTTTAATTCTCTTTGCGATCTGAAACATCTCTTTGTTTTAATAATGGTTCTAGACAAACATTCTTGACACTTTTCAGAAATAAAATAAAAGAAACATATCCCAGAAATCTATATAATTTAAATTTATTTCTGACTTGACAGATCTCAGCTCTATTAATTTTAAGGTTTCAATCACATTGTCTTGAGACCATGCCTGTGATATGGCTTTCTCCTCCTATCTTCCCGTCTTACCCCCACAATGCCCTGCTCTCTTCCTAAACTTAGGGAGAATGAAGAACTCAGACTTCTGTTAAAATGACCACAGTGTACTTTATTTAATGATTTTGGTACCTTGTGTTGCAATAAAATAAAAAAAATCTACAAAATCCAAATATATAAAATTTCAAGTTTTTTTCTTCTTTTTTAAAAGTTTTACAAGAAAAATCATGTAACCAAGGAAACTTGTTCATCATGAAGCACTACTTTCCACTTCATTTCATCACGAATTGCAACTTACTTAACAGACCAAAAGAACGATGGTACTGCAGAACATCAAATACTCCACACACTGTGCTTTCAACTAGAGCACATGGGACCGCGGCCCCGGGGCAGCGGCCTCCGGCCAATGAAGACACTCTTATAATCTGAATGCTAAAGGGATGCTTGGATACATGGAGTTTAAATATATATATTTACAGGAAGGAAAAAAAAATTAGTAACTAGTTTAAGTCTTCATTTGGAATAAAAGGCCAAATACATTTGTACAATGTTCACAAAGTAAAAGCACAAGAGCTGCCAAGGTTGTCATTCGGGTCCAGGCACTGTGCTTGTAGTGGGGGGAATGTCACACGGTTCCTAAGCACACACACACACACACACACACACACACACACACACACACGCGCGCGCGCGCGCGCGGTCTCTCGGACCTGATTTCTGTAATGGTCCCGGGGAAGAGAGGAGCACAGGAATGGCAATCAGAATGTCATGCAGAGAGCTGACAACAGGGCACTGAGAAACGATCGGTCCATTCTCTTAGGTCTGCGGTTCATCTGCCACCTGTTACAGTTTCTTTTTCAGAGATAGGTTTCAAATGAAAAAAGAAAAATTGAACAGGGAAAGGAGCACAATATGTTTAAGGCAAATTAAGCAAATATAGAGCAGCTTTTCTTGGTGTGGAGTGGAAATGAGGATTTTTTTTTACCCCAAATCCAACGGAAACAAACAGACAAAATGAAGGGCACCTCCTGAGGTTGAGTTGCTTAGGTCATACATACATTTTTGAAAATTGCTTTGCACCGAGTATCCTTTTGGAACTTTAAATGAAAAACTTGTTGGTTACAAAGTGCATGATTTCATGTTTCGAAATTAAACAACACGAGCTGAGGTAGTTAGATGTGAAACTTATTTACTTAAAATAACTGGAGAATGAAGGACAAACGTCAGTAGCAAAAATCCTTGTCATTTGAAAGCAGGTTTATACGGTGCCGTGGTATAAATGCTTCTATTTTCCTATCAGATGTTATTAATTAAACCAGAACATTAGTGATAGCGATATTTGTTTCCAATTTGCTTGGTCAGTACAAAGGAAGTCTGGATCCCCAGTGATTTTGTTTGCAGCTCATGTTTTCACCATTTCTGCATTGGAGCTATAACAAAGTGGCATTAGGTATCATTCCTAGAAATTTCTGATCTAAACTGCAAGAAGAATTTAATAAAAATCGAGAACAGTATCCATAGGAAGGACAATTTTTGCTCTTGCTTTTACAATAGTTTTGTCTTAGCCCTAAATTCAATATACTATTTGGTTTCAAAGTGGGAGGGATGCTGGCTCATTGGTTACCCTCCTTGTTCTGAGAAAGGGAAAAACCCAATTTGCATATTCATCATCATCTCATCTGGGAACTGAAAAGAATAGCAGAAACAATTTGGCAGCGGCAAAGTTCTCCACCCAAGGGGCCCTCTCTTCTGCTTGCCGCCTTTACTAAAGTGAGGAGTCAGATGAGAGCGTCCATGAGCAATCGACAAAAAGCTTCGTCTTTCAGCTATCTCCTACTCTCTAGACAGGAAAGGAGTGTTATGACAGCAATATGGATATAAAGAAGATGGAAAACATTCTTTTTTGAGCAAATGAGACTTTTCCATGTGTTTTTACCACTTGTTTAGGGATAGAATGTTAACTGGAAGTAGCCATGAAAGTTGATAGCAACATCTAAAAAAGCATCCCACGTGATGATTTACATAATGGCTGGTCCATAGCAGTATAATCACATTTATCTTTGCTAAAAAATCGTTTTCAAGAGTCTCTTGTTTTCAGGCAAGACTCTGGAAATTTTCATGTGGGCTAGAAAGCCTTAAAAGGAATAAAATGTATGGGGCATTCAAATGTCCTTTCCCCCAGTAATTAGATGTATAGCTTATATCTAATAACATGTTGTTTCCCCCTGTTTTTTCCTCTAGAATTTAGATTCTACCATTTCAAAGAATTGTCCAGCTCTCACACTGTTAGATTCTGTTTTGCCCCCTTATGGAAAAATCTCCCAATGACACATTCTCCCCACTGCCCTTCTCTCACCCGAGCCAGTCCGCCTGAAAAGCTGCCACACCTGTTCTTATTTCCAGGCCCTCACGTCTAGTCAATTTCAGTTTTCTTGTGTAAAAACAAAGGAAAGCCATGGATATTTCCCTTTGTAGCAAAGGATATTCGGCTGCACTTTTGGTTGAAAAAGTGTTGATGATGGTACCTGGGGGGAAAAGAAACCCACATTATTTCAACTCACTTCTATACTCATTTTTGGAGTCTAGAAAAAAGAATATTTATCTAAGTCTGGTGTAGTGACACAAATTTTTGTTAGTGGATCAGATAATTGCTTGGGTTAAATTCATGCTTCAGAAAGCTTAATACCATGCATGGGAAATGTGTGAGCAATCTGAAACGTTAAGCCTTTGACCTGCCACTGGCAACTGAATCTTGGAATCAGAAGATTGTTGAACGTGGATGTGATGTCAGCTCCAGGTGCAACGTGATTTTTTAACCCTCTTATTGAGATAAACTTTCTGAAACCTTATTTTGTATTTCCAAGAGCCTGCAAATTTGTTTTGCAAAGGAATGTAATTATTAAGTAAGGGCACAATGACAATATTTATGCACAACTTTGCTCCACGAAGTCACAGCATTAAAACATTATCTGTGTTGTTAGTATAGTCCCTGGGTGTGTTTTTACTTTAGCATATCGCCTCCATGACTCGATATGGACAGATCATGTTGTTTAGCACACACTTAGGTAAAAAGAAAACATGGGACTTTGGGAGGAGGTTGTCTAGGATGGTGTCTGTGGAGGTTTTCCCACCCTTTGTCCTTTAATGTTATTCCCATCTATGTCCATGCAAGTACATGTGTGTATCAATGTGTAGCTGAAGCCCTGTGTAAACACTTCTCTGAAATATTGAAAATATTTATAATCTGGAAAATGCATCAACTCAGGAGTTCCAGGCAGAAATAAGGCTTTACACTCTTAAAGGGCTGTAAAGGGAGAGATGTGTCACCTTAGGGATGAAAGAGAATCTCACTGTAAACAACGCACAAATCTAATTCGAATAATATCTATTAAAATTTTCCCCTCCTGACAGCGGGTTCCAGACCACCACGTGGCAATCATTAGTATTGAACCAGAGTATCACGCATGCATCCTGGAAACGGTAGCGTGGGATCAGGCATGCAGACTCCTTAGGCCTCAGAAGGAGCCCAGTTTTCTGGACACGTTTAATGAAATGTTTTGTAAAATTCAGTTTGGCTCAGAGGAAGATTGTCGTTCTCTACGAAGCTTCTCTGTATGAAAGGAGTTAATTTTCTCGTTAAAAAGCTGATAATTGAAAAGACTTGTACATAGACCTTTGAAGGAAAAATTCCCGCGTTCACTAAGTGATGAAGAATGATGGTATTCTTTGCTTGGCGAGTTATTGCTGTTGTGCTCCTAAGCTGCCTGCACCTCCTCCAATACAGCCTGTTCCCGGGCGTGCACAGTTCTCCTTTGTGCTAATACTAGTTATCAAGGGTCAAAGCACTTTGAGAACTCTAAGTATTCTTCACAACACCCTTATGAGGTAGGTAGATAAATATTCTCTCTTTTTACGCATGAAAAAATGGAAAAATGAGGTGGGATGTGAGTTTCTGAGGCTAAAATGACCAACCAAGGATGAGGACACGAGTGCTCAGACCCCCAGATCCTGTGCTTCCATCACCAGACCAAGCCCCTCCATGCCCTGCCCTCCAGAAAGGAACCTATTCCAGAGTGTAAAAGGATACCATGTCATAGAATATATTTAAGCATATTTAAAACAGCCATTACATGCCCTGGCTGATGTGGCTCAGTTGGTTGGAGTGTTGTTCCCTTCACTGGAGGGTTGTGGGTTCGATTCCCGGTCAGAGCACATCCCCAGGTTGCAGGTTCAATCCCCAGTCTGGGTGTGTGAGGGAGGCAACTGATGGATGTTTCACTCTCACATTGATGTTTTGTTTTTTTTTCTCTCTCTCTCTCTCCTTTCCTCTCTCTTTCAAATAAAAAAAAGTAAAATAAAACAGTAATTATATTCAACACAGGGACTTTCAGTTTTCTATTAAACCATAAATTCCATTCAATTATCACATAAGAGATAACTGGGAAAAAAAAGTCTCAGGTTTTTGTAGTTGCCAACTAATCGTCTCTCTGTTGCCAATTCACCTAAACATTGAACTAAACATCCTGTCAATAACACGAAGGCATAAATGATTTGGAAAAGGATGCAGTGAAGTAAAGATCCCAAGGAAAAGGCAAAGCAAAGTTGGGTAGCAGCTTTGTCATCCTGGAGGCTTTGAAGGGTGTGTGACTAGCAAACAGACCTGCCCCCAAAGGAGAATTTACAAAACACAGTTTGCACAGAGCCATGACACCAGTAGCTGGAGCCCTTTGGTACACAAAGGGGAGTGGCCACTTGATTTCCGGGAAAATTCTGCATCTGATGGCAGGAGGGACTCAGTGAGGAAGGGAACTGCCTACCCCATGAAGTCGTTCTAAGTTGGCACTAAATGTAGGATTTGACACAACCAAAACACTTTCTAAGAACCTACAAACATTTTGATTTTCTCTGGCAATCCCCTCATGATCTTTGCATAGCTGAGTCCCTCCCAGTGGTCCGTGTGCCTGCTTGTTGTCAATGCCTTGGGGAAAGTTTTACAACATAAGCACACTTCAAAGAAAATTGGGCTGAATTGCTTGCCTGTTTCTCTGCCCAGCTTCAGAACAGTAAGTAAGGTAAGCACACAATTTGAGGAAATACACATGCTCACCAATCCAGAGCCAAATCTGAGGAAACAAGGAAGAAATGTCCACAAAGAATCATAAATATAAGAGTTGTCTGAATAGCTCAAGCATCCTTTCTGGAAAATCAATTTCTCTTTGATATCATTTTTTTTTTCTTTTAATGGTGACTGTAAAGAAAACACCAATATTCTAATATGCAATAACCAGTTGGTCTTTGGTAATCAGAATGACATTGACCAACCAAGCCACAAGAAAAAAAAAGTATTTTTTTTTAATTTGGGGAAAAAAAAGATTTTACTTCTATCGATACTATAAAATTCACCCTGAAGTAACTGCATCAAGCAGTTTAAACTATTCTATGCCTAAAGATATAAGAAATACTTAAAATTAAAACTCCCATTTGAAGAATAAAAAGTTAACAAATTTGTATTCCCTTGAACAATTCTGTCAAACATTGTGAATGATTAACCTTATGTGAAGAGCAGAGGGGTAACTATAAAATAATGAAAGATGGAAAAGGGCTGAATGAAAAGGTTCCTTGCCAGGAAGGGCCGAATGTCGGAAGCAGCCCTGTGGTGCAATCACGTGTGAATACAGCCTCTCAAACCTCTTTCATTCATGTGTTTGTTGAAAGTAAATAAAAATCAAATAGCATTTCTCTGCATTATTTACTTCTCTTTGCACAACAAAGAGTTTTTATTTAGCAGCAGAATATCACCAGCAGTAGATTACTGCACAAGAAAGTTAAACTCCATTGCCTACAACACCTGAGCATTTTCTGTCTCTCTAGGCAACACCAGACAACCAGATGAAAAACTGTGATTCAAACACCTAGATTTTCCCAAATATCCAGATGTTTGACATCACAAAGACCAAATTTACTCCTTGAGTGACCTAATGCTTCACTTCCATTGGGAGATTTGCATTCATGGGGACAGTCTTTGTTTTTTAATAACAACATAGTGTCCACTTCAGTTTAGTGAAGATGGCTTAGCAACCATCTGGAAAATTCAGATGTTAAAAGCCCCCAGTGACAAGATACTTAATCGTGAGGAACAACCAGAGCTTTAGGGCTATCAATGGTCTAGTAATTTTGTCTACATTGAAAACTTGTTTTTTTCCCCCTTCCATTATTCTAAAAATCATTCTCACAAGAATTATTTTTCCAATGTGGGGATCGATGCACAGACTAGCTGATGGCAGAATCAAGACCCAAAATACGTTTAGACGAGTCAGTTAATATGTGCAAGCCAGGTTTAGTGAATGTGAACACAGAGGTCCGTGTGATGTCATGAACTATTGACAATGGGATAATGAGCCAGGCCATGGTGACCCTGAATCTCACGGTGGTTAAAATGAGGGATAATTCAATGGATCATGTCTTGCAAGCAAAAGTACTTACAAGACCTTAACCGATCGCATCTTATAACCCACCAGAAGCTGTTGGCAGCTGCAGTGTCCAAGGAGAATTGTCATGGGGGACAGTTTCCTTAAGGACAGAGTTAGGCTCAGACAGGCAACCATGGCATCCCCTCTCTCTTCCCACTGCAGTCATGCTTTGGCCTTTCATAAACAGACACATCTGTTGTCATGGTTATTAAATGGCAGTGCCACCTTGAACCTCTGCTCTAGAAGAAGGCAAGTATTCCTGACCACCCACTGAAGGGTTTCCTCTTCAATCTCCACACCCCGACCTCTACATGAATAGAAACCTTCAGTCCTAACACTACTCAGAGGCACGCTTACTCATAAGCCTTATGGAAGGGAACGGTTTATTGCTCCTGTGTCTCCACAGTCAACCAACTCATGGTAGATTAGAGTACCTTTTGTGCCTATTTTGGCTTTGGAGTTCAGGAAATTAACCATTTTCTTCCACGTGTTGGTTTCCATTGCCTTGACACTGCAAATTAGTCACATGGTGGCAGGCCACTTTTATTACCATTAAATTTCACTTCTGAAAATGACTTGCCAAGGGAGGAGACGCAGCATGACACTGGCGCCTAAAACGGGGACTATCGCTCAGGAGAAACATCTTTGAAACACAAGGAAAATGACCCCTGCTTCTTTTTCTTATTTTTTTTTTCCCGTTTAGATTGCTTGTTGGATAAATCGGATGACTTTTACTCATTCATTTATGGTTAACTCCTAAAATTCTTATATGAAGGCATTTAGACAGAAAACATAACACCTTATAGATGCCTGACTTGGTTGCAAACTCTGAAACTATAACGTGAACTCGATTCATTCTTACCCTGCAGCTCAAAGCGTTCTTTCAAAACAGAGAAGCAAGTGGAAAAGAAGCACGGTTTTAAATTAGGAGACGATCCGTTTACGTATACGGGAACTGAGAATGTGAGATCGGGGATTTTAGAGTCACAACCAAGGTTTTGCCAGGGTCTAAGCAACAGGAGAGCCAGTTCCACATACAAACGCATCTCCGTTTGAAACTGGCAGTGTCACCACCTAGCAAGGCAGGAATCAAATTATTCAATAGCTACAGCCATGCAGATTTTACCTCTGAAATTGAATTATAAATTTGATTTGTATAAATTTGTTATTACAATGCTGACAACGGCACTTCCAAGAAATGAAGTAAGGACAGCAGCTATACCCAGACAGATCAATCATGAAACAGGTGACAATATCATTTTTTTTTCATTTTCAAACATAAGTAGATTTGTATTCATTGAAAGTGAGTCCCTATGACCCAGTACCAATTTTCTGAGTTATGCAAGGCCCCAGGAATCCATTGAATCTTTTTTTTCCTTTTTCTTTTTTTTCAAAGCAGTGCTTACTGGCAAAAGCAAATGAAGTGGGTGAATATTCATAGCATGAATGATGAGGAAGCAGTAGCAGGAATTCCCAAGTGCTCTATTTCACCGGGGTCTTTCTCTTTGGCCGGCCGGGCACGTCACCACACAGCACAGAGCGCAGGGCTCCTTCCCACTAACTGATTAATTTTCCCTTGCAGTGGCTTGGCTACCATATTACAAGTCAAGAATGTGCAAGATTCAAGGGTCTGTTGAATGAACGAACGCAAATCACCTTCAGTAAAGCTTGACAAGTTCCCGGACGGTTCTGTAAAAAAAAGAAGGGAATCGATGGCATCAGCAATATGCAGCTTGTGACATGGAGGCTTGCTGTCTGCGTGTGGCTGGCTTGCCCCCTTCCCCTTTCTCGGGGCAGGAGAGGTTTCTTTCTTTTCACACAACACCAAGCTTCTGATTCAGACCAAGGGAAATGTTGCACCCCCGGGCTTTCGCAACATACGCCGGAGATCTGTTTCCCTTTCTACGTACAATACGTTAGAAGGGTTAATAAAAGAAGTCAACTATTTTAGTTCTTTGAAAGAAGGAGATAAAATGACAATTCTCTGACTAGCTGACAGACCTCCTTTGCTTACAGGACACGTGCGATTGCTCCCAACTTAAACAGAATAAGAACTTCCAGAGGGCTATCAGTGGTCGGCAAACTCATTAGTCAACAGAGCCAAATATCAACAGTACAATGATTGAAATTTCTTTTGAGAGTCAAATTTTTTAAACTTAAACTATATAGGTAGGTACATTGTTATTAACTTAATTAGGGTACTCCTATGGCTTAGGAAGAGCCACACTCAAGGGGCCAAAGAGCCGCATGTGGCTCACGAGCCACAGTTTGCCGACCACTGGAAGCCACAGGTCAAAGGTCAGTTGCTCAGTTAATGCAACAGTACCTAACACACCCAAACACAAGAGCTCATCGTCCAGAATCACAATGGGTTGAAATGCCTGTGTTGATTAAGACTCGTTCTACTGGTTTGTAATCACATAGGAATCTCTTAAAATAATAGAAACCCGAACTATATTTTCTTCATACTTGGGAGTTGTTTTTAGAACTTACTGATAATGAATTAACTTGAAATAATTGTGTTGATTTGATACCAGAATGCCACCAGAACAGTTAGATTAAATTAGCTTAAACTCAACATCTCCATTTGTTAATATTTGTAGCATTTAATGAAATAAGAATTTGATTATTTCCATTTTAATGCAAATCAAGCAATAGAGAGAGAAGGGGGCTACCAGCTTAATTTTGTAGATGAGTGTATAATAAAAACACGAAGCCTTACATTTTCCGAAATTCTAATAACAGAGTAGGTGACAGGCTGCAATAATAACACAAGAGAAAATTGTGTTGGTACTGTTCTGGTAATACTTGCTTATCAAGTTGATTAATTAGTTTTGATGTTAATCTCTTTTGTTAAACATCTTTGCTCTGCAGACATTGCATCAGTAACTATGCTTTTCTTGTTTAGTGCAATGGCTAAAACGGGGGTGGGGGAGGTGTTATGAGTCACAGTCAGGGTAATGGGGGCATAAACCTAGAAATCATGCCTTGGACCTCACACCATTATTCCATCAACTACTTTATTGATGTCTAATGGGACCCACCAAGGAATTCTTCTAATTATTTGGAATCTGTAAAAATTAATATATATTTTTTCTTTCCTTCCTGAACTGAACTGTGAGAAAATCTAAGGAAATAATAACTAAAGAAAAATTTGATTTAGCCAGTGTTTCTGACACATTATGTCAGTATATTATTTGTCAGTAAAATATTTTAGCAAAACGATTAGACATTTCAGGGACATTAACCCATCCCTTATTTAGCAGAACATAGGCCACAGAGGTTGACTGAAGTTTTTCATATTCCTGGGCTAGATCACTGGGTACAAGACAACAAAAGTCTGAGTTTTTCCTTGCAGCATCTAGAGAAAGAACTCCAAATAGATGGTGAAACAATGTGATACCTTAAATCATCGGTCCTCAACCTGTGGGTCGTGACCCCTTTGGTGGTCGAACGACCCTTTCACAGGGGTCGCCTAAGACCATCCTGCATATCAGATATTTACATTACGATTCATAACAGTAGCAACATTACAGTTATGAAGTAGCAACGGAAATAATTTTATGGTTGGGTCACAACATGAGGAACTGTATTTAAAGGGCCGGAAGGTTGAGAACCGCTGCCTTAAATACTCCAGGGAGTTTCTGAACTCCTCATTTCTGTGGGCAAATGGCTGTTCGCCACTTCTCCTGCTCGGCTTTCTGCTGTGAGAGCAGGTTGTGTGCGAGCTCGCCTAATTGCTACAATTGGCAAAATTAAATGGCTCATCGTGTTTTTATACAATTCCACCCACATTCCACAGAGTTTTGCTTTTGACTGAGTAATTATACTGTGGAGGCTGTTGACACAGACACATATTGACACAGCATCTGGATAAGACCTCTGTCCATGGACAGTCTGCCGTGGACAGTCCTGAGTGAGGGAGGAGGTGCAGCACGACTGTCATTCCACAGCCTGATCCAGGTAAGGGCCAGAGATTTGGAAATGGGCGTGGGTGGTAGAGGGAGGTGGCCCGTCCTTAGCCATTTTGAAATGCTCCAGCTTCGGGGCGGGGGGGGGGGGGGTTATG